TGCTGTGTGTGTCAGCGATGTGCTGTGTGTGTCAGTGATGTGCTGAGTGTGTGTTCATGATGTACCTGTGTTTGTCAGGGATGTGTGGTGTGTGTGTATCATGGATATGCTGTGCTGTGTGTGTCAGGGATGTGCTGTGCTATGTGTTTCAGGAATGAGCTTTGTTTTGTGTGTCAGGAATGTGCTGTGTGTGTCAGGGATGTGGTGTGTGTCAAGAATGTGATGCATGTGTCAGGGATGTTGTGTTTGTGTGGGGGGCAATGTGTGCGAGTTTGTTGGGGCTTGTATGGTGTATGTGTGGGGAGGGATGAGAGGGGAGCAGGGGAGCAACAAATAACTAAATTAGTATAATTTTAGTATAACATATTATATGTTTTAATTAATTATAATTTGATAAATACATTTTATACCCCCCTTTGGTGGTCCAGTGGTAAAAAGTTACTGTAGATCCCTGTTCTCAAAAGTTCTACCCGATACAGTTATGTGCCGAGCTTTGTCCTTGGTAACCCGCGCTCAGAACTGCAGGACTCACAAGAGTGATAGTTTACTACCTCCCTGGTCACTGTTCTCCACACCGGCTGCACATATGCAAAGCATAGCTAGTGCCCGCTTCTCCTGGCAGCAAAGATCCCTTGATCTGCTTTGCCTGCTTCAGCCCATTGCCATAGTGGCCCACCAGGCATTTGCCCGGTTTGCCCGATGGCATGACATCTATACAGAGGCGAAGGCAAGCCAAGGCCTTCATAAAGCAGTATAGAAAACGTGTTTTAAAGAAAAGGGTTATTAAAAACTATTAGCAAGGTGTGAAAGTGCTGCCACCTGGATGACTAAATTTGTCTGAACCAAAATGCCACATGGACAGATCATGAATCTATTCAGCTGAAACACAATGTTCTCTGTATACAAGTTTGTGTGCACTTCTTGTTTTAGCATATTTTTAAATTTGCACTATTTTTTTAATATACATTTTACTCTGTGTTTTCCATAAAGTTCCATTGTCCAGTTTTAATTCCCATTTCCTTTCAAATAAAAATCACATATCAAATCAGTTTTTGAAAAATAAAACTCATATTAATAGTTTAATTGTAGTAAATCACTAAAGTAGAACTAATGGATTTCATGCATCAAGTCTCTCTAAAAGAATATTTTTTAAAAATCTATCTGGCTTGGTGGTTAATTTTCTCCTGTGTGGTCCATTAGTGTGAAAACAGCATTTCACGTTTACATCATATTTAGTGCTTTCTGTTTCTTTGCAGATGACAGTGAATGTCTCAAGTGCCCAGACAATATGTGGCCGAACACTAGTAAAGAGAAATGTATTCCAAAACCAGTTCAGTTTCTCTCCTATGAGGAGTCGCTGGGATCTTCATTGACCTGTATTGCTGTAGCATGCTCTGTATTGACTTTCTCTGTCCTTTGCCTGCTCATTATAAAACGCAGGACACCCATAGTGAAGGCCAATAACCGAAAACTCAGCTATCTCCTCCTTGTCTCCCTCATGTTCTGCTTCCTCTGCTCCTTGGTATTCATTGGTCGACCTGAGAAAATTACTTGCATGATACGCCAAGTGGTGTTTGGCATCATCTTCTCCATTTGCCTTTCTGTAATCCTGGCCAAGACAATCACTGTGATCATGGTCTTCAGTGCTACCAACCCAGATAGCAAATTAAAAAGATTAGCAGGACTCCGAATACCAATTTATATAGTTCCTTCTTGTACATTGGTTCAGATAGTGTTATGCATTATCTGGCTCACCAGTTCTGGACCCTTTGTTGAATTCAACATGGCAGCTGAGGTTGGGACAATAGTTGTTGAATGTAATGAGGGGTCTAAAGTGTTATTTTCATGTGTATTGGGTTATATGGGTCTTTTAGCTTCTACCAGCTTCCTTGTTGCATTTTTGGCTAGAAACCTCCCTGATACCTTTAATGAGACTAAATTTATTACTTTTAGTATGTTAGTATTTAGCATCGTTTGGGTAACATTTATCCCAGCTTATCTCAGCACCAAAGGTAAGTACATGGTCGCTGTGGAGATCTTTGCCATATTGTCTTCAAGTGCCGGACTACTTACATGTATGTTTTTTCCAAAATGTTACATAATATTACTGCATCCTGAAATGAACACTAAAGAGTACATAACTGGAAGAAATCGTAGAAAAATATTCTAAAGAGTCACTTAAAGCAGCACTGTCATGCCGAACTTACCTTTCCCCAATCAATTCCTCTTCTCTACCTCTCTCAGGATCTGTTCTTCATTTCTTCCTGTCGGCTCTAGTTTTCTTTAAAAATTAAGACAAAGTAGGGACTATTTCTCTTCTGGAGGTTTCCTACGCCATGACCAGCTATGAACAGCGGAGGAGTAAAGTGTGCTTCATTTCCGGTGGTCAGAGACATTTTCCCATAATCCTTAGCTTTCCTCCCTGTTCCCGCGATGCTTCCTGTCAGTATTGCCGAACGTCCTATCACTTAGACAAAACACAGGCAAAATTGACGAATTGCGTCCTAACAGAATGAGAACAGTTTCTCCATTCATGTTAGAACACAATTAGGGACTTTGTTTGGATCGCAATTTCATTCAAATGAATGAAACTCCAATCCTATTCGTGCTGTGGCTGCATCTTGCTTAGTAGATAACTTCCTAATTCCCATGGTATCAGGGAGCTATCTACCAAAAGGCTGAAAGACCTAAATTGGTCTTTCAGCCACATTTATTAATACTAAGTAAATATTACTTAGTATTAGTAAATTCAGCCCCTACTTGCTATACCGCAAATTGGTGCATGTCTAGTCAAAAAAGTGAGCAGCCAGTGGGTGGGGGCCCTAAATAACAATGAGGGGGGGACCTACTGTCCTCCCCCCCGGCCCACACCCCTTCGTGGTGGGCTTGGGCCCTAAATGAGAATGTGAAGGGGGGACCTACTGTCCTCCACCTAACCCCCACCACTGAACGGCAGATGGGGGCCCTAAATAACGATGGGGGGACCTACTGTCCTACGCCCCCGGCCTCCACCCCTGAGCAATGGGTGGGGGCCATGAATAAGAATGTGGGGGGGACCTACTGTGCTCCCCCGGTCCTCCTCCCCTGCGCGGTGGTTGGGAGCCCTAAATAACAATAAGGGGGGACACCTACTATCCTCCCCCCGGCCCTCACCCCTGAGCGGTGGGTGGGGGCCATAAATAAGAATGTGGGGGGGACCTACTGTCCTCCCCCCGGGCCTCCACCCTGGGGTGGCGGGTAGGGGCTCTAAATAAAAATAAGGCAGAGGACCTACTGTCCTCCCCCGCAGCCCCCACCCATGACCGGTTGGTGGGGGCCCTAAATGAAAATCCCCCCCAAAGCCACTAGTTACCCCCCCACCCAAATAAAAGCTATCCCCTACCTACCCTCCTCACCCTAAAAATAGTGAGAGGGGAATAAAATAACTAACCTGTAAATAAAAATAAAACTTGCAATTAGGCTAAGAACACTCTGATTGGTTGGTTTAAGCCAATCAGAGTGCTCTTTGTCATTTTACACAGCGTGGGCAAGTTCTTTGGAATTTTTCCACGCTGTGTAAAATGACACAGAGCACTCTGATTGGATAGATTTCAAGCCCACCAATCAGAGTGTTATGAGTCAAATTACACAGCGTGGGAAAATTCCAAAAGACTTTCCCAAGGTGTCTAAAATGACACAGAGCACTCTGATTGGATGGATTTCGAACCCACCAATCAGAGTGTTATGAGTCAAATTACACGGCGTGGGAAAACTCCAAAGAACTTTCCCACGCTGTGTAAAATGACAAAGAGCACTCTGATTGGCTTAAACCAACCAACAGAGTGTTCTTAGCCTAATTGCAGGGTGGGGCAAGGCTTTATAAGCCTTCCCCCGCCCTGCAGAGCTCAGTCTGCACGGAGCCCCCCATGGGTGAAGATGGATTGTTTTTTTTAGCATCAGGTTTTTTTCTTTTTCGCCTGTTTTTTTTTTGGCGCTCTGATTTGTTATCTTATTTAAGTTCGACGGCTATGATGGATTATTTTTATTTTTATAGCTGGTCATGGTGCAGGAAACCTCCAGAAGAGAAATAGTCCCTACTTTGTCTTAATTTTTAAAGAAAACTAGAGCAGACAGGAAGAAATGAAGAACAGATCCCAAGAGAGGGAGAGAAGAGGAATCAATTGAGGAAAGGTAAGTTCGGCATGACAGTGCTGCTTTAAAGCTACAGGAACTCTTCTCATCAAACTATCTCCATATTGTATTCCTTAAAGCTACAGGAACTCTTCTCATCAAACTACCTGCATATTGTTTCCTTAAAACTATAGGAACTCTTCTCATCAAACTATCTGCATGTTGTGTTCCTTAAAGCTACAGGAACACTTCTCATCAAACTATCTACATATTGGGGGGCAGGGCCTGACCGCCGAGTTGGATGGACGTGGAGCACCTCGGCTCCTCTATGAATCTCTAATATCCAGCTCAAAACTACTTTATCTCCCCTGAAAAACCACACAGCAGGTACAAGAAGGCAAGCACAACTCTTGGTGTGAGTACTGACCACCGTCCTATCGGCGATGCTGATTGCTGGGCAGCTGTGATTGCGGCCTGTTGTGAGGCTCTGGAGGGAAATGTGGCCGGTCTCCCATGCTTAGTCCGGTGGGACCTCTCACATGCATATTGAGGGCCTGTTCACCCCCCCCTGTGAGCTGAGGGGTTATCCCGGACCCCACCGAGGAAGCAATGACCACCCATGAAGTCTGAGCGGTGAACCGATCAACTAGGGACCGCATGGCAAAACCCAAAATGGCTGCCGCGTCTGTCACTAGCTGGAGAACAGAGGCGGCAGCAATGGAGCAACCTCTGGACTCTGTCTGGAAACCAATGCGAACGAGAACACCACACACTGACAGAGGCCCGCAGACAACGGCACATTCTTGCCGCCCACCAGACATCTCTAAGGAGGGCACGTTCGGCATGTAAGCACAGCTCATACCTGCAATACCTGAGGCAACGTCTCACATGCTTTCTGGCAGATCTGTGGGAACTCATTTGGGACTCTAACCCTGAATAAGCACAGAAGTGCAATGGACATGAGACACAAACTTACTTTTTCATAAACCTGAGGCTGCCACTAGCAGACACATGAGACTAAACATATCCCTGGCAAACAAGTACCTGAGCATTTAAGCATCCAGCATGAAACGCAAGGGACTTTATTACAGCCAGGGTGCAAGCCGACCCAGCACAGCTGCAATTAATTACAATCCTAGCAGAGTGCTTTATCTTCACTATTTTAGTTTTTTACTCATACTGTTATGTCTAGATATATTACAACTGATCCTATTCTGCAGACCCGCATGTAAATCATTTAAAAATAACTAAGACTACATGTCTGTTTTCTCTGCAAACCCAGAGACTCGCTGCCCCCTGGTGGTTAAATTTAAATCCAAGCAGTGTAGAGAAACCTATACCTGTCGTTAACTTGCATAGCCTGTAATGTAAGAACCATATCATCACTGCTCCACTAAGCATGCATAGATTACCTATAAAAGTTTTATTCACCTGTACCAAACCTGTTATATCTTGAAAATATAAATGTGCTGATTACTCTGCCATGACACTGTATGACGTTGAATAGCTTGTACACGCCGTCGTAGCGATGCAAGCATGTTGTAACCACACACACAAGAAAAATAAAGATTTTAAAAAAAAACAACTACATATTGTATTCCTTAAAGCTACAAGAACTCTTCTAATCACACTATCTTCATATTGTATTCCTTAAGGTTACATGAACTGTTATCTTCAAACTATATTCATATTGTGTTCCCTAAATATACAAGAACTGTTATCATCAAACTATCTTCATATAGTATTCTTTCAAACTACAGGAACTGTTATCAGCAATCCACCTCCAATCAATCCACCTCCTTAATGAGGAATTGTTCTATCTTATCCTAATTATCTTTCTAAATCTCCTAACTATATTTGCTGCAGTTGAGTTCCACTTCAAATCCATAGGAGGCATAACAGGTTCACCCACTGGAGCCTGGAGCCTTGTCGTAGGTCCAGGGTGGGTAGGAGACGACAAGACCCCAACCAAGCTGCAGCGGTTTGTGCGGTCTGCAGTGCTTATGGTGTCAAGTGGGGTGCTTGGAGCCCTCAGGAAGCACTAGGAGCATCCATCAACAGAGGTACCCAGCTAGGTGATCCATTACAGTGGTGGCAGCGGTTGGATGGTGTCCTGGTGCGAGGTAAAGCAGCTCAGCTACACCATTTGTGGATTTACAAATTGAGGGCAACGCTTGTCCTCGCACAGCGCCCCTAACTATGGTGTACTGAAGAAAACACAGAGGGAGGCAACTTAGACCGACCTATACAGCTTACCCCCTCACACACACCGACGAGGGATCCCCTAGGCAGTCAAGTGAATAGCCGACTTCACTGCCATGACCCCGTTAATGAGGGCCAGTCAGCAAAGCACGTAATCATCAGACACAAACACAAAATAGAAGGAAGAATAAGCCTAGAAATTGCCAGAACCTGAAGAATAATGAACCCAAATGTAGTCTGGCTACCCCAGGCAGGCAGAAACCAACCCTAGTAAGCGCTAAAAGGAATACCCGCAAACACAGGAGCGGAGATCCATAGGTTAAGGTACATGGCTAACCACAGTCCCAGGGCCACATATCTCCAGCATTGCTTATTGACACCCCATAGCGCAATATACAGGGGGACTCAACTCCCCAAGCTGTATGCCCCTCCCAGTTCTACACGACCCAGTAAGCGATAATAACAGACAAAGACTCGCTGGGACAGTATAATTGAAAACGCATAGACCAGCAGAGGGAACCCCGGTGCCAAAACTAGGCCAGAGAAGGACTTGGCCGTAGGTCCTAATCAAAGCATGGGTGACGGGTAGAAATAACGCTCACACGAACGGTGTTGTTTATTACTGTTCATTAAATCGACATACAAGTTCTAGCTGTAATATTGACTTGTACTAATAATAAGGATTGTCAATAAAATAAAAATAAATATTTGACATAAAATATACCCCCTCCTGGATTAATGGCAATATTTGTATCATAATTTAATTACTTTAAAACTTTTCTTTCATTGAAAGTTAAATCATTTCTAAATCTATCTTTATTTTGTTTATTTTGCTGTTTCTACGCTTTTCCTTTTTTATATATACACAATCTACTGTAAAAAGCCTGAAAATCAATGCATGTGTAAAATGATGTGGTTTAACTCTGTATCAACCACATTATATATGTCATAGAGAGTTATCTTTCAATTGGCAAGTCCCAGTACCGTCAATCATGAATAAAACTATATGTCTAAATATTTCTGTTGCCTTCAAATATTTAACCGTTCAAATTCTGAAGATAATAAAGCTATAAGAACTTAGATTCCTATCATAGACATAGACCTTGACAGAAGTCAAGGTTGAATCCCTAGGCTCCTGGGATGACATCTAGCTCCTTAAAAGTTTACCAGTCACCACTTAGTGGAAACGATAACTTTCCATCTTTTACCAACACAAAAACACTTTACGCATGCATTTTATCTATTTTGGCTGGAAATTATGGTATCACACTTTTGCAAAAAAAAAGTTTAACTACTTTGCAACTACTTTGCTCTTGCGTGTTTTATTTCCAAACACAGTCCCAGTGCTCAGTGTGCAGTGAAATATGTATGCCTGGGTGACAATCCCAATTATCCTGTTTCTACGACTGTGTCCCTTGTCCAGAAGGTGAAATAACTAATGACACAGGTAAGTGAATGACTTGGTATAATTCAAAGATAATACTCTGATTAATCCTTTAAGGCTCTAACTGTCTTTTCATTTTTCCAGCAAAAAGATAAGTAATTAGTAAAGCAGCACTGTCACCAAATTTGCAATGGTGACCGCTGCTAGGGGTCCGGTTGCTGGGGGGAGCAGATGTGAACGTGTATTATACCCAAGGACAGGAAATATTCCAGGTTATATCTGATATTCTATCTAATATCTGATAACCTATTGATGTTTCTACTTTTCCAGCTGGAAACTGATATATTATCTGTTAGACTATTAAGAACTTTCACTTCTAGGAAGTCAAACATATAATTGTTTTTGACTTTGAACCATATTAAAAAGATATGTGCCAATATTATATTGTCCTTTAATTCCTTCACCCACTTTGCCTCTTTCTTCCATATAGTTTTAATTATATCCCCCTTTTCCATAGTCTATTTTTCTTTACTATTCCATCCCTCTTTTCCCCATCTTTCATTTGAGATGATATAAAGCGCTGGCTTGATAGTGTTGCTTGTCTGAGAAATTTACTCCTTCTTTGTTTATCTTATTTCTTAAGCTTCCCACTCCTAAACGCGGCTTTTCACCTCTCCATTTTCAAAAGCTGGCCCGGATCATATCTAGCCATCTATCTGGAGTGTTTAATGGGAGCATTCTAAAGAGAAATGTCCATAGATGGAGGATATTCATAATGTAAATTTTTCACATCCAACCAAGAATATTTTTATTCCATTTCTTAAGGGTTAAGTTCCATTATTTTAATAACGTCTTTTGTTAATGTTATGCCTAAATAATTCAATTCCCTTTCTACTTCTGTAAAATAAAATGTTCTTATTATTGACTCTGAAAAAGAGAGTGTGACAGTCTTTTCTAAATTGATTTTATAGTTTAAAACTATATACATTGTTCTATTTCCTTCATGAGGTAGTGAGCAGAGACCATTGGTCATTGTTATGAGAATGTCATCTGCGTATAAACACATTTTTATTTCTCCATTGCATATTGTAAAACATTTAATCTCCGAATTAGATCTTATTTTAATTACCAACATTTCCAATGTTATTATGCATAAGATGGGGGAGAGTAAACACCCATGTCGGGTCCTGTTACTCAGATCAGAGCACCTGTCTACTCCCACTACCCAGGCGGATGGATTGTTATATATTAATTTAATTGTCCTTAGGATCCAATCTCTTAATCCAATAATTTCCAGCGTTTTGAACATATAGCCCCAATCTATTAAACGCTTTTTCTGCGTCAATTGACAGGGTCAGAAGCGGTATATTATTTTTCTCACTAGATACCATCATATTAATCTAATGTCTTGAATTAAAGTAAGTTTTCCTCCCTGGGACAAAGCCTATTTGATCCGTATGTATTATGTTGGGCAATATCGATTTCAACCTTTCTGCAATTATCCCAGAAAAAAGTTTTGAATCCACATTAATTAAGGAAATGGGATGATAGCTCCTTGTGTCCTGTGGGTTTTTATCCTTTTTGAGAAATGGTAAAACATTATCTTGTAAAAGCTCTTTTGGGCCCCTTTCTCTGCTCACCACCTCATTGTATGCATTTGGTAAAAAATTTACTTTTTCTTTTGCCAGTTCAATCATGTATTTTCCTTTGAATTACTGTGTTTCCCCTAGCTTGTTATTGTGTTTTGGATACCCAAAAGTTGGAGTGCGCTAGCAACTGTACTGGAGTCAGGGTCTTCTCTGAGTACTTTGAAAAAATATACAGTATATAGTGCAGACTGTCTGTACACACAGGGTATGCAAAATTAAAGTGTTCCTGGGGATCAACTCACATGGACCAGAACCCCTGGCTCTGGGTTTGAATTGCTCCAGTGGAGAGGGATAAACCCACAGAATAACAAAACAGGATACTCTTCTGAATCAGATGTAATATCTAGGCAGTATAAACAAATAGAGAGGCAGGAGCTCAAATTGAATAGTATCAAACACAGTATTTATTTAAACAAAAGGTTAAAAACTCTTACTTGAAGTAGTGGGGTTGCCAGCAATAAACCCACAACTAGATAAGCAGGAATTTACACACAAAAAAAACGATATAGCTTAGACACTTCCGGGTTCTGGCTGTCAGGGTGGCGGTCCGGTGCCCGGAACCCAGACACTGTCCAGGCGGCAGTGCAAGGACTGGGACCCAATATGCCTTATGTTCAGAGTAGGAGTCACAGTGTGGAGGTGAATTAGCAGGGTCTGGTGCAGGGTAACCGCACGCCCCCTGCATTTGTGCAGCCACATACCAGAACCCTGATTCGGCTTAAGCGGATCCCAGGAATTAAGCAGACCTCCCAGGAGCTTGGAATTAAGCAGACCTCCCAGGAGCTAAATAGGGAGGCTCTGCAGCAGGGGTGTATCCAGTACTGAAGCAAGACAACACTAGAGAATGGCACCATGCATGAGAACAAGACAAAACTAAGAGGACAGGGCAAGACTAGAAATACAAAGCAATATAATAGAATTGTAGTAAGACACACAATAATAAAAAGTCCTCTAAAACACCTTAGTGAGAGTCCCTGTCACCTCACAAATAAATACAAATACATACAATATAAGGTGGAGTGTCTTCTTATTATAATAAATATTCCGTATCTCTAAAAAAACAGAACGAATAAAGGCATATGTGCATAAATCCCGCCGATATCCACGCGGGATTATGACGTTTTGCGTTCCACAGTTGGAACGCAAACCGGAAGTGAAACCGGAAACCGGAAGTAATGTTATGAATGCCGGAGACAGGAAATTGTCATCGAAAATGACGCCATTTGCGTTCCACCAGTGGAACGCAAGAAACCCGGAAACCGGAAGTGAAATGAGGACGCCGAAAATCAGCTGATCTTCATGACTACTGTG